TTGCATAAGATCAAAGTTGCATGAAGTGTATACGATATCCGAGACGAAGCTCGCTCTAAGTCCGTACGATTATAAGCAATACATTGTGCCTGATTCTACCGATCATTCTACCCTGCCATGGGGACATTATAAGATACCATTGTAAATAAAAAACTCGCATATTTGTAATAAACACGTATAGTATATTTGTATTAATGTCATATATTTTTTATAAACATAATGTTTTATGGATATAATGAACAAAACAATTTGCGATATAAATTTATTTTGCAACACGTTGTCCTTGTGTATCCATGAATTATGTGAATCGTCCAATCCCAGCCATTTCACGTATATCTTATTCCCTCTTTTGCGCAAAACTTTTTCAACAAAGTACACGTCGGGATTAGCAACGCGATGCAGTTCGTATTCGTAGAATCCTCCGGCTATAGGTTTTCCGCGAGAATTCTCCAAAAGATACGTTGCGGGATTATTTTTCTGCACCTTGATGATTTTAAACACTTCCGTGGTCCAATTTGGCGTGTAACCATTCTCAAAAATTGTTTTGAATTTACTCACGCGTACCGAGTCACCCACTTTGAATCGCACGGGTGCGGCGATCTTTACGCGGTTATATACTATGGTTAAGAGCTTGTTGGCGATTGCTGGGGTGACGTCGATGGGCCGCATACCGATAGTTCGATGCTTTCGCGCGTTGTATTCAGACATGAGACGCGGTAGCAAATCGATCCATCTATAGTTTCCATTGTATGTAAACTGCTTCCACATGCTGTTTTTCAACGTACGGTTGAACCGCTCGACGACTGATGCCTTCATTACGGAATATGTAGAATAATGATTGATGTTATGTTTCTTTAAGAGATTCTGTACGTTGGCGTTATAAAATTCCTTTCCCCTGTCGGTCTGTAAATTTTTCGGGCATCTCCCATTGTGTCGAATTATCTCGGCGATCGCGTTAGTCACATCACTTCCGCTCTTGGCCTTGAGAGGTACGGCCCATGCATGCTTACTCAGCACATCGATAACGGTGAGAATGTGGTGGTAACCTCTAATGAATCGCGTGTAAGGACGCATTTCGACCACATCCGCCTGCCAAAGGTCATCGTATCCGCAAACTATGACGCGTCTTCGTGGAAAATTTCTTCTCGCGGGAGCGTGCAGTTCCTCAATCAGCTGTTGCTTTTCGAGACTTTTCTTTTTAGACATGTTCGAGACTTTTCTATTCAGCGCGATGATGCGTTTCTTGAATCGACTTTCGAAGCTCGTTATCAACATTTGCATATTACTTTGAAGCGCGGTAATCTTTCTCTCGATTTCATCCTGTCGATCTTTCAAAACTTGCATCGTCTGTTGCACGAAACGTTTGTTGGCGACATCGCTATTATCTACCGGCAGCGCTACACGTCAAATCTTGTGTAACTTTGCGTCAAAGTCGGATGCAACTACGCAAAGAGCGTTATCGCGCACGTAATTTCTGAGTAGTCCACTCAACTGGTAGTATGAACTTGTTCCACCTATACCGAGCGACGTCCCAAACTTGTTGATCGGCATTTCGATGTTGACTAAATGATTCGGACTGTGCCGTCTAATTTATAATAATATCAGCTTCGCGAAGTTCCTCGATAATCAACAGCATCTCGTTGTCGTGCGCATTGTAATTACCTTGGCACGAGGCCTTGAGCAATCGGAGGCGATCTACAAGCTCGTTAAGATCGTCCCACTGAATGTACTCAATCTTGTTATCATTCACTGTCATGGTGCGCGATATACCTATTCCAACTTTTTTACCGCTTTTCACATCTTCTGGCAACAAGGGCGCAATTATATTCTTATACTTGTGACCTTTGTTACCCATTATTTGACCTTGCGCGCTGCGATCGCGTTTATACGCGTTTGTAGCTAATAGAATACTTCGATATTTCTGTAGGTCATCGTCAGTGTAGACTGCTTTATTTGGATAACACATGAAAATCAATTCGTAAAGTCCTGGCGTTCCAGCATAACTTTTCCCGTCTATGATTATATTATCGTTTTTATCCAAGGTGATACGTTTGTTGCCGAGCTTCGTTCCCTTATTGCTAAAATAAACTCCGTAAACGTCGTGTATGTTGACTACATTTTTACCGCTTAGAACCGCCCCCAGATATTTTTGTCCCAAAGAACCATAGTGCATTTGTAGCTTTTCTTGTCCCTCGGATGTTGCAATTGGTTTTGAACGGATGTTACGAGCGGCTGATTGGCGATTTCGAAAATTTCTTTAACGGAGGGAACGTACAATTCATCGTGTAATGGTAATATTTCAAACATTTCATTCAAAGTAGACGGCACAGTTTTCGAACGTTTCAGCATTGATTTAACCGGAGTGGAAGCCAGTATAGAATTGTCTAACGAGACGCTTGATTTTTTTCGTTTAGGTGTTGATTTCATATATATTTCGTCTACTCCCGAAAAGAACGATTCGTTCTCGACCAATTCATCGTCGGCGGTATTTACAGCAATTCGTTTCAGAGGCTCGATGATGGGCTTAAAGTGTCTCTTCAGCGCGATATCTTCTTCCATTCTACCAGTTTTCAAGGCGCGATATTTTTTGCGAATGGAATTGCTCGTTTTTTCAATCTGTTGCGCTATTCTCTCGCGATCCTCCATGTCGGGAATATTGCACAATTGATTTATCGACAATAACTAACCATGTTACAGTACCGCAAAAGGTGGACATGCAAAGTACCGAAAAAAAATTACCGAAAACTAA